GAGTGAAGGCTCCTCTAGGTCTTCTTCCTATGGGTTCTTCTGCAATTGAACTCCAGAGCCTCTAATTCTTCAGCTTACTGGAGCTCAGAGTTCTCTCCACCCTTTTGTCCCTGATCAGCTCCCCGGGCTCAGGTCTGGGTCAGAGCATGGGAGCTCTCCTGGCTGCCTCTGTCCCACTCTGGTTCTTGACAGCCATTTGCCACCTCAGGCACCCCGCTCTTCTCTGTCTCCAGGTGCTTCCTGATGATGTCACTCCCTGCACGTTCTCCAAGGTGCAGGGAGTATGTACTTTTAAAATAGAATGAGAACAAAGCATGCCACTCTTGTGTCTCCACTCTGGACCCTGCAGGTATGTTCACTCATTAATAGTCCTTCCTGGGCTATTCTGCATCAGGGGTTGAGGGCAGCTTGGAGGAGGCACATCCCGCTCCTTTGGGGAGTATGCCAATAGTCACCCTAACTGGCAACAGTTAGGATCAAATCAGGTATCATTCATGAAAGACCAGTCCAGATCACCTAATGTGTAGTTAGACATTGAAATTAGCATGTGCTACCTCTGAGGAATGTTATAAATGGTGTTTAAGTTAGCACATACTAGGAGCAGTTTCACATCAAAGATTAATGTCCTCTGTAACATGCACTGCTCTGATTTGCCTCTAGAGGACTGATGATCAGGGGTGTGGCTAACAGCTGCCAACTTGCCAAATCTGTTCCTTGCCTGCCCAGCTGGCTAGAGCTATAGTCATTGGCAACGTGTAGGGGGTGCACGCGGGTGCACATGCACACCCTGAAATAGGCGGTGCACCCCCTGCAGAAAGCACCGCCAACACTGCCGCTACTAGTCAGCGCTCACTGCCCCCACCCTACCCCCGCTGCCAACACTGCTGTTGCCACCTGTGAGTGCTCCCCACTCACTGCCGCCATGCCCCCACCACCACCATGCCCCCCAGGCTCCAGGGGCACACATTGTTCATGTCTATATGGCTGTATAGGCTTCAGGACTGGGCTAAGCCACCCACACCTGTCTAAATAGAGCCCTGCCACCCCTCTCCAGCTCAGATTGGGGCCCCCACAAGATACTCACCTGTCTCCCCCAACCCTTTACACTGTCCTCCAGCTCTTAGCTCCCCACTCACCTGCAGGGGAGTAGGAGGCTGAGATCAGCCAGGGAGCAGCAGTGATAGTGGCAGAAGGGCAGGGGGGCTTCCCCTCCCTGTCTGCTTCTCAGCTCCCTCCAGCTCATGTGTCCCTGCTGAGTCCCATGCCTGCCTGCTAAACTGTCACCCCCCCTTCCCCACCCCCCAATGACTGCTTGGCAGGTCCCTGCAGAAGAAGGAAAGGCAGAGGAAAGGGGGCAGGAGGGGATGGGGGGTGAACAGTGACTCAGTTTGCGTCAGAGGAAGGAAGGAGGGCACGAGGACCCAGTCACTACCACTGCTTTTCCCTATTGTGGCATGGGGGAAGTACCCTCAGCTGGTGCATTCCCTTCCACAGGCAGAGGAGAGTGAATCCTGACAATGCACCCTACTTCCAAATGGCACTGAACTCCCATGTTCATAAGCCAGATCAAGTGGCTCCATGGGTTGGATCCAGGCCTCAGGTCAGTTTGCTGACCCCTAGGACAGATGACCTCTAGGTCTATCTTGTTCATGTTTACACATGAGCAGAATTATTCATGGGGCATCCCTCTGAGAAGCTCTGCAGTATAAGAAAAAACTCCCTAATGTGATAAAGTTCAGGTCCATCACCACACATGCAAAATACGCACATGAATTTTTTTTCTGGAAGATTTATATGATCTAAAGAGAAACTAGAGAAACTAGCATTTGGACAAATATTAAAGAGCTTGGAAACATGAGGAAGTGGTGGGCTTGCAGCAAGAGGGCAATATTTAAATTATATTCAAAGATCAACAATTACACTAGGGAAGGGACTTATTAGCAGTCTTAGTAAGAAAGACGGTGAGTAAATAAGCTGAATCACCCCGCTTATAAGGAGGCAAAATGTTGGAGCTTCTGAAACTAGATCAAAAGAATCTTTTACAAGGGAAAGTGTTAGACATTCTAAATATAGGATTTACTTCCAGCTCCCTGCAGGATAAAATATGTCTATATGCTGGTAGCTAGTCCAAAAAAACCAATAATGACTTTGAACTTAATTGCGTGTCATATTGCTTCTACTAATGTATATGTGGATATTCTTCTATTTTCAATAGTTTATCTTTTTATTCATCTAATTAAATAGGAAATGTGGGAAATTTCAAACATGATTCCTCAATTTAGTAACAGATGCTTCTTAAAATATTTAGAACTTTAAAGTGTAATGAAGCCTTCAGTGATGTTCTGGTTTGTTGTATAAATATTTATTTAACACACATTCTGGGCAATGTTCTGCCCTTCAGTTTTTTTGCAGAAAAAAACTTAAATGGCAATTCTTTTTTCTTCAGTGATGGAGAAGTATATGGCTACTACAGCAAGCAACATCTTCAGATATGCCAGAGTAGTGATTGTTAAACCTGATAAGGAGATAGCAGAGGCAACTGTTGTTCCCTCATGCCTGGGGACTTTTCTTGTTAACAGAAGCTGAGAGGAGTTGGAGGCAGCATGTGACCATTAAATAATTCTTTAAATGCATTATTGTTAATTAAAGGAATGTATTGCGTAAATTCATTATTGTAATTACTGAAAAATAATGCGTACATACAAAGGTCATGTCCACACAAGTGTGGGCATTTGATTCCTCAGGGAAAACTAGCAGTAGCATACCTTGTGCCGCTGCTAGTTGTCCCTATGCCTGTGCCACACGCCCTCTGACATATGGCAGGTTACCCCGGGTGGGGTAGGGGAGGCTGGGGCCAGCACTGGGCTGGCCCCAGCAACCTAACCTAGGGTCCTGGGGGCCTCCTGGGGCTGAAGCAGCAGTGATCCTGCTGCTTGAAGCCTGGCCAGCAGCTGCACTGTGAATTCGGCAAGCTAGGCTCTAGTTTTGAGTGGTGCACACTGCTTCCGCGTGCACCACTCCACTTTTTTTTTGTGCTAGTTTTTTTTATCCCTGGATAAAAAAAACCTTGCACTGCTCCCTTGCAGTGCAGAGAACAGCTGAATGTGCAGTATATGGTGCTGCAGATGTGTCTATGGTACCACATACTGTATGGCCATGCTTGTCTGGATGCAGCCAAAGGGGCCAAATCAAGGTTGCATGCTGGTGCAGCTGGTGCCTCTGGCTGTCGCTGGAGGCTTTTAGAGAGGCAGCCACCATTATCTGGGTTTTGAAGGGACTCCACGGGCTGGAGGGAAGTGCTTGGTGGGCTGGATCTGGCCCACAGGCCATATTTTGCCCACCCCTGTGCTAAAAGCACCCTCCAAAATTAATCCATGCTTTTGAGGGCTAGATGGTTTAATACAGTGGTTCTCAAACTTTTTTTTCATGGACCACTTGAAAATTGCTGAGAGTCTCAGCAGACCACTTAATAAACTTTTTTTGTTCTACAAATCAAAGCACATAACTCATATTTTACTATCTTACCTTTCTAATGCGATGGATGTGCCTGGTTATTTTTGGAGCAAAGTTCTGGGAAGTTCAGTGTAATGTTTGTCAGCTTTAGCTTTAGGTCACCTTTCTGCGGACCACCTGAATGGAGCTCACAGACCAGTGGTGGTCCATGGAACACAGTTTGAGAACCTCTGGTTTAGTAGATTTTGACCCTCATACAACCCAATCCTGCAAACTAGATTATAATGGAATGAGTCACAGTAGCAAGCAAAACATTCAGTTGTAATGTCAGTCTGTGCACCTACTCAAAATAAATTTTTGCCCAAAATTTTGGTCTCTTATCTAAAACCAAAATTATCAAAGGCTCTTCCACCATAAGGAGTATTTCCTTGATTTGCACTGTAGAATCACCAGGAAACAAAAATGCTGTCCCCCAACATTTTAGCCTTGTGACAGAGCAAAGACTATAGGATGTAAAAATGGAAAGAAAAACATTAAGAACAATCTTGGGGAACAGAAATGCAATGATGGAGTGTCCAGGTCAGAATTAAATAGCACAAGAGAGATTTAGTACTAACATAATGACAAGATCAAGTCAGGGCTGAGCTATATGAGGAACGAAATGTTCACTCTGCCTGCATTCAATTTTCTTGACTCAAGACACTACAGCACTATTAATTCTTCATTTTTATAAGCACCAGCAGTTTAAATATTACCAGAAAAAGCAAATGTGCTATTCAAAAGCTTCTAGAAAAAATGATTAT